TCATGGACCTGCACAGGACACACGGACAAAAAGACAGAAAAAAAGACTGCCAAATATAGGCAGCACTATGTTAATATCAGTCACAAATGTACATCTTTCAAAATTCAACACATACATCAATAACACATACACATGCAAAGAAAGAGTTCACTTCCAGCCAGACGCGATGCTATGATTTCGTTATGCTTTTCATGCTGCGCCCACTCAATTTCCACTTGTTGGAGACAATAAAGCTCCCAAAATATCAGAATTTTCAGTCGCACAATTTCAGACATTTTGCGCAAGTGTTCCAAATGGCAAGATCGCGGGTTTCGGAAATAAACTCTTAGACTTCAACACAGAGACAAGGGCCCACACTACATCAAACAAAACAACACGGTTGTCCTGCCCCCAGATCTGAAAAGAGGACAGTGATCCAACTTTTCAGACCCGAGTTCAAGAGGGGGTAAAATTACAACTACTTAACTTTTAAATCGACGAAAGCTGCCCGTCATCTTCTTCACCAGCGACCTCTATCTTCTTCCTCATGGACCTGCACAGGACACACGGACAAAAAGACAGAAAACAAAGACTGCCAAATATAGGCAGCAATATGTTAATATCACAGTTGAAGACATTTTGCGCAAGAACTTGCGCGCGCAAATTTGAAAGTTGCGTAAGTAGCAAGTTCGCGCTCGACAGTACTATAGTAACGATTGCACGAGGAACAGCGTGCGCGCGAAGGTTTATTAGTCAGACCCTATTTATATCTAACAGTACATCTAGATTCCAGACTAGCTGCTACAACTCCCCAGTTCATTAGGAATTTTACTAAAAGGTATGCGACAAGGTATGCAATAAAATTCACGACATTGCAAAACAAATTCGCATACGTGTGCGCACATATTCGCGAATTGTTTCACGACATTGCATATGTATGCGCAAACGTTCGCGATAAATTTCGCGACATCGCATACGTATGCGCACACATTTGCGATACATTTTGCGACATTGCATACGTATGCGCACACGTTCTCGATAAATTTCGCGACATTGCATACGTATGCGCACACGTTCGCGATAAATTTCGCGACATCGCATACGTATGCGCACACGTTCGCGATAAATTTCGCGACATCGCATACGTATGCGCACACGTTTGCGATATGCGATGTCCCTTCAGGGCCACCATACCATACAGCGTTCCAGGTATACACATTCTATAATATATACAGTCACTCAACGTGATAACCTATACAGTGCAACTAAGCCACATGTTACATTTCAAAGCAGTTATTCCCAACAACTTGATTTACCCGATCATGTAGGTCCTTTGTGTGTTGGGGTTTGGGGAAGAGTAATGTGAAGGGGTAAATTGGTTGAAAATACGGCAATTCCTAAGAAATGCAAGTGCATGAGACACAGAATAAGAAAATCCAACCCCATTAATTAGGCTTTAAAAAAATGGTAGATTTTCTTGTAAAAGTTAAAAGTCAAAATCTAAAGTCAAATTGAAAGTTTTGTTGGGAAGTGTCATCTTGGGAAATTGGTGTTTGAAGAGTAACTGCAGTGAATTAAATCCAACCGAATGAACTGTAGTCCCAGAACCAAAAACTTATTTACAAAGTTTGTAAGAAAGCTTAAGCAGCCCCCCCCCCCCATAAAACAAAAAATAAGTGGAACTTATAGAGAATAATTCAGCCATGAAGCTCCCTGTTAGGGATGGTCACCTGTGAAAAAAAACCCTGAAACCAAGGTCAGGGGCAGTTCCAGGAATTTTCCATGGGGGGGGGGGGGGGGGGGGTCATCAGCAAAAAAATCTGGCGGGGGGGGGGGCTGGTACCATATTTCAATAGGGGGCGCTGTTCAAATTCGACGGTTATTAACACTACATTACAGAATGTGTACCGTATTTTGAACAGGCAGACATTATACCAGTATAAATTATTTTGGGGTGTTACAGCAGGGGGGGGGGGGCAACTAATTTTTTTTGAATTTGTATGAATTTTTTTTTTGACAGAGCTGGCGATTTAGTATGAATTTTTTTTTTGACAGAGCTGGCCCCCCCCTTCTGGATCCGCGCCTGAAGGTCATATAAACATGTAGAGTTTGGGCTGACTCTGTCCACTATTGCGGCTGGGCAATTATTGTAACAGAAGATGTGGGAAGAATGTTGCAACCTGACGCTGCTTTTTCTTCATATATCATCTTATTGACGGTCAGTCATTGCAAAAATTATGATAACACATGAATCCAGGACTGAAAAAAACAATTTACAATTTTGTTAGGAAATACATGTACATTGTCTTGACTCTCCATAGCTACTTCAACCGCTGAGTAGCGTCAGGTTGCAACAGTCTTTCCTAATTTATTTTTGTGAGAGAAGTAATGACGGCAAAGTCACACAGAACAAAATAAGATGGCGACAATGCCGAAACAACGGATTTCTGCCTTCTGCCGTAGCGCCACTCATTGTTGATCCGTGAAGAAAGGCTTCCTCCGTGGTCGGACGCAGCAGTGTGACGGCACGGCGTGGTTGACAGCCGGACCGTTATGATCGTAGTCCTATACCTGTGGGCGCTACGACACGTGATAGTCGAACCAAAGGGTGCAGTACTGCAGATATGAAAGAAAGAGTGTTTTATGCAGCTTGTAGACTCAATCCAATTTGTATGGTTGCTCACTTCAATCTTTATTTTCCAGCACAAACAATTCAGTGTACAGGTATATGGGCACCAGTGGGCACGGAGATGAGTTATTAGCAGTATAGTTTACTGGATGATCTGCTTACACTGGATACACTGGATGATCGGGATACAGTTGTACAGCCAAGACAGTTGAACAGCAGTTGTACAAACAGTAAACACCCTCCCGATAACACCTTGAACAGCTTCGGTGATTATCCCTCCCTTTTAATGTGAGCTTTAATTAGAAAGGGAAATATAGGGAGAATAAACAATGAGGTCATCAGGAGTAATTGCCATAATTATCATCCCTAAACTAGCTTATCAGTAAGGTGAAACAACAGACATATACAAATGAGAACCAGGTAATAACGGCGATCAGATGAGTCCATGTCCCTACAATAACTTGTATAATAACAGACTGTATCAAAACATGCAGGAAAGCCCATCAAAAAGTCCCAATATTTTCCACTAAGTACATTTACGCCCCCAAATCTATATCCCTCAGTCAAACAACAATTTACGGAATAATCACTTACCCAACCGAGTATCTCTGAACCCCTATTTGTGTATGAAAATGCTGGTTTTGAACCCTGAAAATCACTTTTAGCGGTGGAGTCAGCCGCGCGGTCACGGCAGAAAGTGCGCCCTCAAGCGAATGCACGAAACTGAAGCGCGCCCTCAAGCAAGGCATGCAGCGCAGTTGCAACATGGCCGCCTCCAAATTTTAACAAGAAATTTGCAAACTGTAATTGCAATTACAAAAACTTCAAAACTTTTAGTTTAACTTCAACACTGGAAAATGCAGTTAACACGAAACAACAGGTTTGCTACTCTTGCGCACGCACTCAGTTCCTAATGCCACAGAGCCTAAAGGGAATGGGGATCTGGGTGAGTAAAACCTTGGTCAAACCGGGAGTATCACCTTCGTCATACTTGGCTAGTTTTATGAGCCGGGCAACAGGACGCTTGTAGACTCTGTTGTTCACTTGAACGTTGACCACCCTTACTCGCTTGTCGTCACTGGGAAACTTGAGTAACAGTACCCACTGGCCACTGCGACCTCGATAGCTGAGGATCCGCTATCATAACAACATTTCCTTCCGACAGGTTCTCCTCTTCCCTTTGCCACTTCTGGCGGGTTTGAAGGCTAGGAAGATAGGACCTAACGAAGTGACGCCAAAATTGATCAGCTAGCACTTGGCTGTGCCGCCAACTCCTACGACCCCTCAGTTCGCTCTCGTCATAGACTACCATTGGTAGCGCTGGATCCCGTCTTCCCATCAGGAGCATATTTGGAGTAACCGGATCCACGTCGGCTATCTCAGATGAAGCGTATCCAAGAGGTTTTGAATTTAGGATGCCTTCGACCTCCACTAGCACGGTGCGTAACACAGCATCTGTTACTGTCCTATCTCCAAGTACAGCCTTTAGTGCCCCCTTGGCTGACCTGACCTCCCGCTCCCAGGTACCCCCAAAGTGGGGTGCGTTGGGGGGATTGAATTTGAACTTGACTCGATACTTGGCAAGTCGCTGGACAATATCTGGTTCCATTGCCTTCAAGGTCTGCTCGACTTCTGTATGGCCCCCTTAAAGTTGGTTCCACAGTCACTTAGAAGTTCAAACGGAACTCCTCTGCGGGAGGCAAACGCCTGTAGGCCATCAGAAGTGCTGCATCAAGGCTCCTCGAGAAGGTCAAGATGCACGGCACGAGTGGTCATGCACTTAAAAAGCACCCCCACCTTTTTTTCCTGTCTTCGCCCAATTTTTAACTGTCATGGGCCCAAAACGTCCATTCCTGTCGAGTAGAAAGGTGGTTTTCCCAAACGCAACTTGCACTCTGGAAGATCACCCATACGTGGGACCTGGGGTGTTCCTCGCCAGCGACGGCATCCAGGACAAGCATGCAAGATTCCCTTGACCACACTGCTCCCCTAAGGATCCAAAATCGGCGTCGCAAATGGGCAAACACCTGTTCGGTTTCCAGCTTGATGACTGAGATAGGCATCAGCGTCCTTTATCAGGAGTTTTGTCACAGGATGGTGTGGGTCAAGTACGACTGGATGAGGCTCAATAGAAATTGAGTCGTTTTTGCTGCCCTTCTGAGCCGACCTCCAACTCTGATCAATTTGTCAGCTGGGTCAAGTTCAGGCGCCAATTCCAGCAGACGACTATTACGAGAAAGTTCCCTATTGGATGAAAGTGCAGTGACTTCCTCCTTGAAGGTGTCCTTCTGTGCCCGTCGTAGCAGTAAGATCTCGATCTCACGGCGTTGATCTGGAGTTAAGGTACCCTCGAGCAACTGGTCATCTGTGTAACGCTGCTGACCAACCGCACTTACCAACTCTCCCCAACTGGGAAGGCTTTGAAATCAACGTCTACCTCTGAAGTAGGAACTGTGAGTCCACAGAAGACACTCCTTATTTCATTCTGTCCTACTGATGAGTTGACACGAGTTTGGGCCAAGACACTTGCACTGTCTTTCTGCCATTCCTCTTGTGGATCCAGAAGCCACTTTGGGCCCTCAGTCCACCTTGAGCCTTCTCCCAGCTTGCAAACCGGTAAGCCACGGGTTATATCATCAGCAGGATTGTCCTCACTCCGGACGTAGCGCCACTCAATGTCATCAGTCAATGTTTGTATCTCAGCTATGCGGGTTCCAACAAATACCTTGAAACGGCATGACTCTGACTGAATCCAGCTGAGTACTGTGGTGGAGTCGCTCCACATCACAGAGTACTGGATCTCAATTGTCAGGGCTTCGAGGACAACTTGACAAATTTGGGCACCGAGGAGAGCTGCCATCAGCTCAAGACGTGGCATGGATAGTAAGCGCTTTGGTGCAACCCGGCATTTGGCCAATACAAAGCTCAAATGGACCTCCCCTTGGCTGTAAACTGTACGCAGGTAGGCAACTGCTCCGTACAGCTTCTCTGACGCATCACAAAATATATGCAGAGACCTCTTTGCTGTTGCTGTGTCAACCGATGGCGGTGTGTAACACCGCGGCAGGCGCATCTGTGGGATGTGTTCCAACTCGGTGCACCACTCCTCCCACCTCTGGGTCAAGCCGGTGTCTGTCACCCTCTCATCCCAATCCAACTTTTCTAACCACAGGTCACGAACCAACAACTTGGCTCTTGCAGTGAATGGTGCAATATCCCCCAGTGGTTCGAACTGACTGGCAAGGACCCTGAGAGCGATGCGCTTAGTAAGCACCTGGTTGTCTGGAACCTTCGCTGGGTGATGCAACTCATCACTCTTCCAGTCCCAACATAATCCCAGAGCCGGTTCCGGATCGCCTTCTTGTAGACCCAGGGACAATGACTGCACCTGACGAGTTGAGCATGCCTCCACAGGAAGACCTTGAAGTGTGTTGGGGTGACTGCTTGCATATTTCACCATCTGAAATCCTACTTTTTGTAGGCATTTGCGTGTGCCAAGAACAAGTTCGGTTGCTTCTTGTTCGCTATCTCGGCTGGCCAGCTGGTTGTCCACATACGTCTCTTTCTCTACTGTATACTGAACCTGTGGATACTGCTCGACCCGGTCCCTAGCAGCTTTCTGAAGGGCGAATGCTGCACAGCAGGGACTGCATGCAGCCCCGAAAGGCAGCACCATCCACTCAAAGACAACCCACTTGTCAAGCTGGTCATCTTTCCAAAGAAATCGGAACATTCGTCGCTCTTCAGGAAGAAGTCTGACTTGATGGAACATGGCGGTTATATCGCCCAACACTGCCACCTTACCCTGACGAAAACGCAAGAGAACATCCAAGAGCGATGGACCTAAAGTTGGACCAGCAAGCAATTCATGGTTGAGGCTCTGTCCACCACACTCAAACGAGCAATTGAAAAGAGACGGTTTTTTCCACTGCTGTGCACAACATGACATGGAATGTACCAACCCCGTTGCTGGTCTGCCGACAAATCATCCACCGGTCCAAGGTTCCTCACTTGTCCCTGGTCTTGGAGCTTCTGGATGTATGAGCGACAATAATCAGACAAATCTGGGTTCCGTTCAATTTTCCTCTGGTTTGAGCGGGCCAATGCCAGTACTGCTTGTGGGAGATTGGAAGGTCTCTGGTGGTTAGGTTTCCACAAAAGCGGGGTCTCTAGTCGTTTCACACCATCAACTTCAACTTCCTTGGTGTTCTCCTCCAAGATGCTTATGGCCAACTTGTCGTTCCTTGAGCGGGTTGCTTGTTTCTCATTTACCTGCGGTAACTTGTCAACTGTCATAAATTGCTCCATCATCTGGTGCAGCTTCTGGTCTGGTTGCTGTAAGGTGCATGAAGTGAACAAAACCCTTTGGCCTTCCAAAGTTTTGCCAGGGATCTGCAGACCTTGGTGACCAAGAACAGTCCAGCCAAACAAGGTGTTCACCGCCACAGGTGAACTAGACTTTGGACCAGAGCGGGCTTCAGATGAGAGCGTGAGTTCAACATGGTCTGCACCGATTAGCACAGACGGTTGAACTCTATGGGCAGAAAACAAGGCTAGCCCTCTTAAGTGAGGCCACTTGTCTTGTAGCTGTTCTGCGCATACACTGTAATCGACCAGTTGAACATCTGGGGCAGTGAATGCGCACTGTATAGCATACTTTTCACTGTCTCCCCGAGCCGAGACCTGAAAGTTGACACATTCTCCCTTCCATCTAGTGTCGCCCATCACTGTGGTAATGCAAAGATTCTCTTTGTGGCCTGAAATATCCAACTGTTCCACAACTGACTGGAGAACCATGGTCCTTTCGGCGCATTCATCCAACACGCCGAAGGTGTCAATGCTACCCCCAGGTCCATGAACAGTGAGTGGTACAACTTTGATCAGCACATCACGGTTGTAGTCAACTCTTGGACTGGGCCCAACTCCTGAGCACAATACAGCTTCTTTTACTGTTGGCTCATTGAGTTCGTGGAGACTGGTGCGATGGTCAGCGTGGCATTCTTCACACTTTTTTGGATACAGGCAATCCTTTTCGTGCTTCTTAGCACATTTTCTGCAGCGCTGGTTTGTTGTCAACCACTGGAGTTTCTGGTCCCGTTTCAGTCCCTTGAATTTTTCGCAAGTCTCCAGGTAATGGCCTGTCTCTTTTACTTTGCAGTACAGACAAGTTATCCTCTCAGGAGTCATTGCAGATGTTTTGCTTGGACTTTGGGCCTTAGCCTCCCAGTTGGCCTTCTTATTCTTGATTGTTGGCGTAGCTGCTGTCGACTGAGGACCAGCTTGGGCCATGTAAGACCTCGATGGATGTGGTTGGCTTCCAGAAGACCTCTTCTGCCCTTGACTCTTCCACGGTGAGGACTCCCTGGTGGACTTCGACTTGCTTGCCCTTTCTAGGAGGATCAAACCAGCAGGACCGGTCTTCTTTTTTAACCACTGGCTGAGATGATGTACGGTGTATTTTATACCTTGGTCTTGATTCCACATTTTGGAAAGGAACTCTGAATGCAGCCTTTCAGGTAATTTCTTTACCAGTTCAGTGGCATAGCGATGATGCTTAAGTTCATCGCGGAAGTCGAATTTTTCTGCTGTCTCTACTGCAGTAGCTAGCTCATCAGAGAAGTCACGGAGTCCAGACCAATCGTTGTGAGCCAGGACAGGACGAGACTCTAGCTGATCGAGTAGGCCTTGGATTATTCGTGCTGGATCTCCATATGCCTTGTGAAACTGCTTCATTGTGGCGGCATATGCTCCATCTCCCAAGATGAGGTTGCGATCGGCGATAGCAAGTGGACGACCTCCAAGGTGACTTCTCAGGTAGGTGAACTTGGTGGCCTCTGGTAGGTGGCACATAGGGCCCTTCATGATGCTGTCCCACAATGTCCTAAAGGTAACGTACTGCCTAACATCATGCTCACTGTCAAACTTAGGGATGTCCAGCTTCGGGAGACTGTCCCAAATTCCAAAGCCACAGCCGTATGGGCCTGTGAAAGCTGTCACAGGACTGTTACTGGCATTGGCAACAGGAGTTAGGGGCTTGTCCGTCGCTTTGGAAGTTCCCTTAGGACAGCATGAATGCTTGTTACCTCTATCACCCTCTGATGGGTCATCATCACCCGAGGAACTTGGTTCACTCTGCTCTTCACCACTGGAAACGTCTGCTCTACTGGTTGGCGGTCCCGGACCCTTGTCGTTCCCTGCAGGCTGCTGACTAGGAGGACCACGTTGCGTTGAGCACTGACCACCCAATCCTTTTGTTGTTGGTGCGCCACTGGTAGACGGGAACTGTGCAACTGGTACACCATTGAACAAACGAACTGTGGGTAAAGACTGAACTAACATGGTGTTAGGTAAAAATGCGGGAAGATTTGGGTTAAAGGAATGTGGCAAGGAACTTGTTGCTTGCGCGCTCGCCGCCCCGTGAGAAACGTAACTTGTCATGGAGGTGGCAATGCTGGGCTGCAGCAATGGCGCAGACACTGGCATATATGTGCAAGGATTCACTGAGGTATTAGTATCAGCCGGCGTAAACACGGTGGGCTCAGAGATACTTACCCCGTTGTTTACCCATGTACTTGTTCTATTTTTGATTGACTCATCCCGACCCGGCAAGTTATGACCTGACTCCATTTGATTTTGCTCTTCTTGTTCAACAACATCAAGTTCATGTTGCAGTCTCTCAGTCTCTACTTGAATCTCTGCCTGCCTATAGTCTGAGTCAATCTCAATTCCCCTCTGCATGGCCTGGAATTGGACCCTTGCTTTCTCCTCATCTGCTTTTCTCCGGAGCTCCTCAAGTTTCCTGCGTGACTCCTGTTCGGCAAGACGCTTTACGATCTCCGACCTGGACGATCTAGCTGAGGAGTTGTGTGAGATTCCACTGCGAATGGAGGGAGGTCGGCCAGGATCCATAGGTCGCTGGTTCGAATCCGGCTCGAAGGACCAATTTTCTGTAGACTCAATCCAATTTGTATGGTTGCTCACTTCAATCTTTATTTTCCAGCACAAACAATTCAGTGTACAGGTATATGGGCACCAGTGGGCACGGAGATGAGTTATTAGCAGTATAGTTTACTGGATGATCTGCTTACACTGGATACACTGGATGATCGGGATACAGTTGTACAGCCAAGACAGTTGAACAGCAGTTGTACAAACAGTAAAACACCCTCCCGATAACACCTTGAACAGCTTCGGTGATTATCCCTCCCTTTTAATGTGAGCTTTAATTAGAAAGGGAAATATAGGGAGAATAAACAATGAGGTCATCAGGAGTAATTGCCATAATTATCATCCCTAAACTAGCTTATCAGTAAGGTGAAACAACAGACATATACAAATGAGAACCAGGTAATAACGGCGATCAGATGAGTCCATGTCCCTACAATAACTTGTATAATAACAGACTGTATCAAAACATGCAGGAAAGCCCATCAAAAAGTCCCAATATTTTCCCACTAAGTACATTTACGCCCCCAAATCTATATCCCTCAGTCAAATAACAATTTACGGAATAATCACTTACCCAACCGAGTATCTCTGAACCCCTATTTGTGTATGAAAATGCTGGTTTTGAACCCTGAAAATCACTTTTAGCGGTGGAGTCAGCCGCGCGGTCACGGCAGAAAGTGCGCCCTCAAGCGAATGCACGAAACTGAAGCACGCCCTCAAGCAAGGCATGCAGCGCAGTTGCAACACAGCTTAATAGTACTTTTGACCTAAACCACAGAGTGAAAAGAATTACACAAAGCAGAGATGAGCTGACCTTATAATAGTATATGGGGAATACACAAGAAAAAAATGTTAAAATTTAGGGCTGGCCGGGTAACTCCAGCTAGTGTCACACACGAAGGCCTATTGCCCAATTTCCGGACACCACCTCTTGTTTTGATGCAAACGATTTTTTTACGACAAATTGTCAGTATCGTACTCTTCCACGAAGAAGTTCCCTTCTACAGATACTTACTTAAAACGGTTGAGGAAGAAGCACCTTTGAACTTCCAAGCAAACAGCTCCAACGTGTGTGGTTATCGTCTTTTTCTTTCAACAACCGCCACTGAAACTATAAGTGAAAGTGTTATGTATATGCAGCTAACTCCACGTGCAACAGCCATAGTAAACAACATTGCGCACTCCCGGCTGTTTTGTGCAGCTGACTTTGACATTTTGTAGTACATGTATAAAGGACGGACCAACGAAGTATCGCACTGAAACACAATCCCTCTGTTTCTGGCGGTAACAACGCGCAGGGAGGAGGAACAGCAGAGGGCAGAGACACGATTCATGTAACAGCCACACGACGGCCTCTGAAATAAAAATCTGCGGCGCGCATTTCAAGTTTCCCTCCGTGTGCGAAAACGACGATGACCCGAAGTTCGTCAACCTGCCCAAGACTGATTCCACATTTTCCCGTATTTTGTTGTTGAACAAATTTTTTGTGAACTTTTGTCCTGTATAAGTAAGATTAATATCACCACTCTTAGTCCAGCGGATATTGTGACAAAATGATTAAATGTGGACTTATTCTATTCATATTGCATGAAACTTTACGCAGACGTATATTCATGAGATAATTTGTCCCTGAAAGCGGCATAGCAGTCACTTTTTTTTTTAAATGGGGTGGGGGGGGGGTTGACTCTTTTTGCCCACCGTGAAAAAAAAATGTGCCTACCCTTTCTAAATGAATTAAACTTCATGCAGACTCATGTTCATGAGAACACAAAAAAATCAGGTATGAAACCATGATCATTAACCCACCCTTTTAGAGGCGTGGTATGTCTTTTAAAAGTGGGGGCGGGGCACTCATTAGGCCACCGTGGAAACCTAAAAAATTGTTCCACAAGGAAAAACTTGTAAAAGTGATCAAAGGACTGGTTTCAGTTTATTCCACTGATTTTTAAAAAGTCTCCACTGGGATTCTCAGTGGAGACATTATGTGTGAGTGTGCAACTAAACTTGACCTACCTGATGGGGGCGCTCTTCATGAAATTTACACTGTGAACTTTCAACCAATCAGAATGCTTGTTTCATTCCTGGAAAGTCTCCACAAGGAAACATTGTGCATGGCCGGCAGTGTGTAAGGCCATGTGCATGATGTGCCATCTTTTTTCCAGCATGTCCAGTGCATTGTAGGTAAGTTTTATAAACCTTGGCAAAGAAATTAACACATTTGGGTTTGATGAGGTACCTTGTGTGCTAAAACCTTTAGCAAAATGCCAGGCATGTGCTACTTTGTTACAAAAGAGTTCTGGGTGATGAATATATAGTTCAGCTTTGTAATGAATTTAACATTTGTCTCCAGTACGGATTTTATATAACTGATCACTGGGCTCTTTTGTATGATGATTTGGAGATTTCTTTTCTTACTTTTAATATCGTCCGGAAACATCTGCCATGTATCATATACCGAGTAAGTAGAATGGTCAACCTACATTGTACAACAGGGAAGAAGGGGTGTGTTACTTATAGGCCTTAACCTAAAGTTAGTTAGCCAATTTGGCTCCTTGATTCCTTGACCATGTTGACCTTGGCATTAGGCATGAATGATAAACCTGAGATAAACAGCAGAATCTGCAGATTCTGGCCTTAAAATTATATGAAAATTGAGAACTTCAGAATAGGCCCACCTTTGTTTATTTCTACAAAGATGTATGCAGATTGGAAAGTAAACTATGTCGGTAAAGCATAATAATTTTAAATCTTAATGAGTGAAAAAAACTTGCACTCTCCCTGGGTATTTCATTGTGTAGGCCTACTGCAGTGAAAGTGGCGTAAACTTTTTTCTTTTTTTTGGTTTTACACGTAAATAAAATCCAAAGTTGGCCATACTGACATGAAGTATGGTTAGTCCAAATAAAAAAAAACATGTTTAGCGTCCCCGCCCACTTCCCTTTTGGAGGCCTCGTCCTTTTTTTTCTTTTCTTTTTTTCTTAAAAAAAACCCCCAAATTATAAATTTTAAACAGTGACATCATTCTGGCCTCTTTATCTGTTGCATCTAGCCCATTCAAAGCCGGTAATGTCAGGACTGAGTCCAAGTGGTGGCCATTTAAAAAAAAAAAAGTGGAACCCATCTTGAAAAATAGCCCGGTTGGTCGGCCATTTTGGAAGGGGGAAAAAAAAAAAAGGTCCTCCGCGTTCATTTTTTTCAAAAAGCAGGATGCTAAACATGATTTATTTACTTGGTCTCATAACTGTTAGCCAAGATAAACCTGCATGGATCAGGGTGAAGCATCATACATTATATTCAATTACAACCTTGAATTGTGTAGAAGGTTGCAGTAGGCCTACCTAAACGTACTTTAATACAAACATTTAATGACGTACAGAATCCTCATTTATAGGCCTATATTCCCTAGTGTGAACATGCTTAAAATACGGTGTGGGTAAAAAACTGTTCAATAATACTCCCATTGTTTATTTTGAGAAGTACACAATATGTGTACGACTCTATTTGTTAGGTCTACCTAATAACAAAGATTGTTCCTACAAAGTACAAAACAGGTAAGTGTAGATCATTTAACCTGTGTAAAAATAAATAAATAAAATGTAGTGCATCTTTGGACCTTGGGCATAATTGATACATGTACTGCGGATATCTTGTACAAACCTTGTTGGCTTATTATAATTGGTTTTTTTTCAGATACATGTAGATTGAAATATGCCAAAACGAAAAGAAGCTACCGGTACCCAATATAAGGCGAGTTGTCTGTATTTTACTTTTAATCTGTCTAATTGTATTTTGTAAAATAAATCAACATAATACAATTACTTCATTCAATAATACAAGTTTTGTGCAAATCTGTATAAACTAAATTGTTTTGTACACGTACATGTACTATGTATTTGTAATTAATGCATTTTTCTTTACAATTAATTTCCCCGCATCCGGCTGAGCCATGACCCCGGCTGCGGCACAACCCCACTTAAAATAGAAATGAATTATTGTTGGACTTTTTTGTGATATAATTTTTTTCTCTTTATTATAATTTCTAATAGGCCCCTATCAGACGATCCAAAAGAACCAGAGAATGCACAAAGGTAAAAAAATACAGTTTTCTGTTTTGTTTTATTACAACATATATATGTATGTCAGTCAATTTCTACCACAGACATATTTTCTCTTTTTTTTTAAGTCTCAAGTTATAATTGTAAATTTATAAATTCTCAGTTACAGTTAAATGACCCTTGGGTTACATTTTCCAAGGATTCTAATTGCGTCCAATGTTCAACGTGTTCACAAGTATACTTTCCTATTACAATATATTTTAAATTGAGAACCGGTATATTTGTCGAGCACAATTTGAGTCCCCCGCGCAAGTTTAAACTTGCGCATGCAAGTTTAAACTTGCGCGAGGGACTCCCGAAGCACACAAATTACACTGCGCCATTTTAATTTGCGTGCGCACGTTAGTTGCGCAAAGGTGATCGCAATTTGTGAACCTTGCGGGCGGGATTTTCATCGATAAAGAAAAAAAAGTTCAAAACACGAGTATACCCCCTCTTACCCTACATGGAAAAAATACAGTTTTTCTGTTTTTGTTTTATTGCAACATATATGTATGTCAGTCAATTTCTACCACAGACATATTTTCTTTTTTTTTTAAGTCTCAAGTTATAATTGTAAATTTATAAATTCTCAGTTACAGTTAAATGACCCTTGGGTTGCATTTTCCAAGGATTCTAATTGCGTCTAATGTTCAACTTGTTCACAAGTATACTTTCACATTACAATATATTTTAAATTGAGCACCGGTATATTTGTCGAGCGCAATTTGAGTCCCCGCGCTATTTTAAACTTGCGCATGCACTTGCATGTAGTGTTCACTTTAAAAATTCAATCCATCTAATTTCATTATGTTCTACAAACACGCACATGAACTCAAAATGTCTGCGCCCAGGATGGCTTCAAAG